GTTACGTAACCCCCATGTTAGTAAGTCGCGAAAAAAATCGGTTTTCCGATGCCGACCGCCAAAAATGGATTTCAGATTCGTAATCTACACCCCAAGAAACATATAATTAAAAAAAAACACCCTTTTTTTTGGATGTAGTTAATCTGCAATAATACCAGAATATAATGTACATAGACTTAAGGTTATCTCATTATTAACGACTAGTGTTTTCATTGTCAAGTTATCGAACTACTGAAGAAACCTATCGACTATCGACTGCATTTCTGCATAAATCCTATCGACTATTGACTGGCATGCGGTTGTTCAACGACCAGATGACCTTGAGATAAATTTTACAACGACTCTTGTGCCACACTATGAGACCTGGTCAATACTACCGTATATGCAAATTATAGAGGAAAATCTGGTTATATTTTGATTGTCCATACATAGTGGCAAAGCCGAGAGTTTTTTCGACTCTTCCTCAAGTTCCTCAAGGCCACATCAGGCCTACACTTCAACACCAACATCACTATGTTTAAGTTCATTTTTGAGTCCTATAAGTAGACCAGTTACCAGTAAAGTATCTTGAATACCAGAATTATCATACATAAGAAATCTGTTAAACTCTTGAGTAAACGAGGAAACTAAAAATGAACTGATTCTAAAAAATCACTGGTTTGCCAACCTATCATGGAAAGTGCAAGGAACAACAGGTCTCATTAATTTATTATGCGATAATCTGGATAAGATTCTCACCGTGCGGCATAACCGTCAGATTTTGACTTGAATGCATTAAACTGGGCGATTTGTTCTTCAGGAACTTTCTTGGCAAAAGCAGCCCAATCGGAGGAAGCTTGCGTAATTCGTCTCGCTGCCATGATGGTACCTCAAATGTCAAAACACTGTACGAATTTGCGAGTTGCGAGGTTCTCCTGCCTGCGGTCAGCCGGACTGCAGAGCTTAGCAAATTTTTTTACCCTAAATGTCAATAATAAAATAATTTACCCGAATTTTCTAAAAAAATCCTCAGAATTGTAAAATTAGTTTTTGCGAATACGAAATTAATATTATTAAAAAAAACTTTTTCTTGTTTTATTATCATCAATTAATTTTGGGAGTATAGTAATAAATAGCTTAGCTAAATCGTAAATATTAACTTCATGCTTTTTTACGAAATGTATAGGATATTAAATCTCACTACAATTGTTCAATTATTATATTTAAAATCACAACAACTCTGGTGCATTCGTCGTGCTTCGGTGACACAACACTTTTTTTCGTTTCTCATTTTTTACTATAATCGGTCGGTAATCTTAATCAACACTGAACAGAGTGGCCCCAATCGAAAATTGTTGAGTTTGGACGATTAGGGCAGAGAGTTGAGAGTTCGATACCAGCTTCCTATGACAGTTCTGGTCTAAATCGGCAAGGTAGCCGGGTGGTTGAGAAAGGTGAGATTGTGGCAGTGTGTTGCGGATTCGAAGCCACAGCCAGCTGTATAAATTCTTCGATGTCTAGACTCTAGAATCTTCCACTAGCCACACTTGACCTATTCAACGCCAACACCACTTATAACAACCGAACCGCCATGTGGTTAGCGCCCTCTTAGTCTTACCGATTAACGTCCACTTACATAAAAATTATTTTACATTAGTTATTAGCTCGACAGTCACTTCAACTGAAACCATACATAATTGAAAGCGGAATACAGTAAAGTTGCATTCAGCCAATCAATAATGAGGAAGATACTAAACTATGTATAATACTCCGAAAAACGATTTCAATTATAATATAAATTATAATGTTAATTTTAAATTAAGAGTCACTTTTAAAAGGAGCGTATACCCTAAATTTTATCTCAGTAATTTACAGAGGGATCAATTCGAAATTTTGTATACATGTGTAAACCCTAAAAATACTCAGGTTTTATTCGTGTAAATTTTTAGTTAAAATTGAAAGAAAACGTGAAATTCTTAGAAAACGGCCAAAAAGGGGTACTTTAGAAAACCTATCTCTTCCTAGGATTTTCAAGCTACAACATCGAGACACATATCATTCGATGCGCAAAGACCATATCTACAAACTGGTCTTAGGTTTTTTTTGCATTTCTCATTTTTGTGGGTGTGGGAGCATTTTATCCGAAATTTTTCGAAATTTTCGATTTTACCTCCACTTCCCCCCCTTTTGCAAAATAAAATCCGAACTATAACGAACTTGGAAAAAAACCCAAAACCAGTTTGTAGATCTTTTCTTTGCAAATCGAACGGTATATGGGGTGTATGTCTCATTGATTTGCTTCAAAACTCTAGGAGGAGATAGGTTTTCCGTGACAATAAGTGTGAATGTTGAGGAGAGCGCGACAAAGTCCCGCGTGCACCACAATATGCGCTCAATGTAGCATAGATACCAAACTAAACGTTTCTGGAACTTGATTCCACTCAAGGATGATGGGAGCGACTACAAGCACATCTCTCCGTACAACGCCCGGAGGCACACTGAGTCAGACCTCATAGAACCACTGTATTTGTAGTGCTGGGCAGCGAATTAGCTCCTATGTAATTACTGAAAGAACTCCCATCCCCCGCCCCCCTTTCATGAAGTGTCGTGAACGTATAAATCAACGTACAGAGATGGTAATGGTACCGTTGGATAGGCCAGAATGTCAGCTTTAAGATGAAACTAAACACGTAACTGCAGAACAACTCAAGTAGACACTATATTTAAAGAGCTCAGCAGCTAATTAGTTCCTATCTAATTACTTAAAGAACTCCCCACCCGCCCCCCTCTCATGAAATGTCGTGAAATCATAAATCAACGCACAGAGATGGCAGTGGTACCGTTGGATAGGGCAGAATGTCGGCTTTAAAATGAGTATGAAAACCGAAAAAGTGAAGATTTCCAATTTTAGGGTAGACGCTCCCCCTAACTCACGTTTTCAAGAAGATCAAAAATATTTTATGTTTTTGTTGAAATAAGACGGAAATTTTACATCATAATTTGGTAATTTTTAATTAAATTAGCTGTAATAGCGATGGATAATCATCCATCATTATTTAATTTCAAAATTTAAGTGAATTATTAAATTGATTAATACTAAGATATAAGTTGAACAATCATTTCAATTGTCAGTGCTGTACCTACACTGAATATAAGAGTTATATAATATAATATACGCGTTTAATAAATCTATAAATTTTGATATTATATTACACTATCCATATTATATAATATCAATCAATTTCAGTTTCATGGTAAACTCGAATGAATACAGTAATTTGAAATAGTCACTATCAGCTGTATGAAGCCATTCATCTGCAGGATGCATGATTTTTTTCTCACGCGCGTGTGAAATCGGTCTCGTATTTGCACATGCTGCCGCTTGAATATAACGTTACGTAAGTTCTGAGCTTGAGTTCAGTTCTGATCGACCCTAGCATTGTACACGTTGGTCGGAATAATCGTGGAATTGGACGTATTATGTTGATGAATATCCTATTGAAGAACATTTAAAAACTTTTGTTCCTTTTGCCGTAGTTTAGCGTCTATTGTATCATGAACTGGAAAAATTTGTGCTAACTTAATGTTGGAAGGATCGGGCTTGTTCATAATTAAACTCTATAGATGCTTTTATTATTTAATTGCTATTGTACTGTATTGTAATTCCATTATTGCAGAGATGTAATAATGTTTAAACTGTTTCGAATGTGAGATATATTCCGGAAGGAGCATTAACCTTTAAATTGAAGTATGATCAAAAGTAAAGGTTTTATGGAAAGTAAACTTCTCATTTAATCAAGCTAAAAAAGAATGCTCGTTTCATGCAATCGTTTCAAGGACACTATAAATTATTTTAACATATCTATCTTGAGCCCTGCGTTCATTTCAGTATTGCTGAGATTATTAGCTCAAGTAACTTACGTTTATAACTTTTCCTTAGTTTCGTCTAGTATTTCTAGCATTCATTAAATTCCATCACTGAAAAATTATCCAACAGAATCCTGCTGGCTCGTATTAGAAAACGTTATCCAAGTTTGCTCCAGAATTCATTTGCAAATCTTCTTTTCTCACAGAACAAACTTTTTTGAAATGAACATATTCTTCATAGTCGTCATATGCCTAAGTACATCATGGATCGGCACTGCAAGCGCTGCCTGTCAGAAACATCAAGCAGGGTCCAGTAATATTCAGAACAAGGCAGAAGAACCCATCATCTTAGCACCTCTCAAAGACGGCATAGAAGCCGTGCTGCTGCTGGTGCCAGGCGCCTACATCAATGCAGCGTTCTACGAACCTCTGGGTGAGGAAATTGGTGTCTGGAAATTATGGAATTCAATGGAGAGATTAGTCAGATACTCGGGTCAGAAACGCGCCATTTTAATGTGAAATATTTTTTGATGAGCAAATAGATGTTAGTGTCAAATTGGAAGTTTCCGTGTCTGAATGCGTGACAACATCAGAGTATGATGAAGGCAAGATTTTTATGTCTTCATGGAAGTCAATATATTTCCTAGTTCAGCTCTTCAATGCGCATTCGTTTCCACAATGAGCCACTATTTTTTCTAAATGTATTGTATCTTCACTGTTGAAGAATTTAGCAGGGAATGAAGATTATAATTTTATTTGTGATAGCTGGCCTCACTTTATTCCTATAGGTGTTGCTATCCAGACAACGTCTTCCCTGAAGCTCTGGGTGGGACTGGTCCGACCTTTCGTCTCAGACTTGCCCAACCCTGTGCAGGTTAGAATACGGTGAAAACCATACAATTAATTAATATGATGAACGGCTCTATGAATCTCAAATCAAAAACAAACAATAATTTATATTAGTTCGAGAAATTGTAACTCGAGTCTTGTCAACTAATTTATAGAACACAAGATAATATCAGCTGTATTCGAAACATTTGGGCCAAATTTAGAAACTGTTACCACAAATTCAAAATAGTTCCAGCCTCTTTTTACATTTTTCAACGAAGAAAGAATTAATTTGGTTTTTAAGGCTGATAAAAAAAATTGTACTTTTAACTTGAATGAAAAATATTATGTTTTTAACCAACATTAACATGAGTCTGTAAATTCTTAATAATCCAGAATAAATTGGCCAGGTATGATATGATTTAGGAAACAACAAAGGTAGAACCAAATAAAAAAGTTTATATTTTATATTTGTTATTTTCAAAATTTATTCAACTTGCTTCTTAATTTTATTTTTCATGCACGTTACATTTTAAGATGTTCATTCATTGCGTTTTTCTTCTTAACAATCAAAATAATGAATTATAATAATAAGTTAATTGCACATGCTTAAAGAGAGATAGTAATTGTAATTCGTTTCAACAACTTTTAATATGTGTTTTTTGTATACAGTATGTACATACATCTATCAGTTAATACATACAATTGGTCGCAGTGTTCAGATGATATCGAGAAGACTTTGTCGATGATGCGCGACCAGGGCATGGTGACGTCACTCATCGCCGTCGCCGGGCATTCGCTTGGAGGTCGGTTTCGAATAAAAAAATATATAAAACCTAGAAATAATAAAGATTAAGAATAATATTGAATGATAATAATATTGAATAACAATTATAACACAAAACTTTTATATTTATTTGACTTAATTCTCTGCACCTGAAGGTTTGTACTAGAAAAAGTTGAACTAGAAGGAATTTCTTTAAATTGTCTCAAGATCGTTCGCGAAATATGTAAGGCTCGTATTTCTTGGTATATGGACTAGCAAATATCAATTCCCTCACCTGCATTAATTATTCTAAAATTTATGCACTTTTAGCCCACACAGCTCGAGCTAAGAGCTCCTTAGCCTGGCCAAACTAAGTCAGGATGACTCACAATAAGTTCATAATGATAAGTGCATTTTTCTTGGGGTAATGAGCCGAACATTTGGGGTAATGAGCCGAACAAGCTTCATCGTTCATCAAGACTAGACAAATTATCTCGCAGGACAGGCAGTAATTTGATTTGTGGACGAAGGCTTTACTGAACACGTGTACCCAAACTTGAATTGTTGTTATGGAATAATAATGATAAATAATAGCGATAATAATTTCATTATATATAAATCATTTTATTATTGTATAATATCAGGTTAGGCCAACGTTGCCTAGATTGGAAAATCATTCCTTGGGTTCCAAATCTAGTAAATAATAAAGCTTATGTATATTATAAGGACTTGGCTTCTCTTCCAAGTTCTTTAGGTTTAATGCAAATTTAATGCTACTGTGATAGTGTTTTAATATGATTATAGTAGCGTATAATTTTAATTTGATACCTAAAACTATCTCGCGTAACAGGCGTCGTAATGCAAGACTGGATCTCTGCGAACCTCGCTAATGTGACGTCAATGATCCTAATGGCATCGCAGCTCAACAACGCTGAAGTCGCCAACTCCAGCCTGGCGACTCTACACATCAGCGGTGACTTGGACGGGCTAGAGGAGATCACGGAGCTCGAGCCGACCTTCAGGTGATGGTTTTGCTATTCTACTCTGTTTTGATGTTGACCACTTCCGTATTTTTTGAGAAATTCGTATACTAAATACATCTTTTTCGATTCAAACATTTTTGTTCGTTTATTTTTTATTATTGCCATGTAGAATTAACTAAAAGCTGACATATATCGAGTGGGTATTTTTAGCGCATTTTCTCATTTATGGAGAAATGCTCTATTGTGCTGTTGTTGTTGTTGTAATTGCCCATCCTGGTAGTGGCGACTAGGGAGGGGGGGGCTGATAGGTCAGTTTTTCCGGGCACTCGGTACCACTGGTAGTTCTACGACCATCACTGGCTCGCTGACCCGCCAGAACCATTTGATTGCATTACACAACACCCTGGACAAGCCAGGTACTCATTTATCAACCAGAGTTGGATGAATGGCTGAGTTTACCATGAGCTGAGCTTCCCGGAAGAACTTGTCCTCAGTGGGCCTCGACTCGAACCAGGGAGCTGGGTGCGAGAGACAGAGTCTCTCACCACTGCACCACCACAGCTCTCACTATTGTGCTCGCTATGTCCGTCTGTCCGTCCGTCTGTCTATCCGTCGGTGACTTCACGTTTTCGTCGACGAGAAAATGCGCTCTCTGTCACTCACGGCAAAGAGTACTGAGTTATATGTTTTCTGTTATGGTGTAATAATATACTTTACATAAATGAAAGTCTGGGGAATTTATATTGCACTTATAGTTTTATGATATCGGAAGAAAAGAAATTCCGTATGCCATGTAAAATAAAATTATGATGGATGAACTAGGCAAGATCAATCATGTGACTTTATGTGTTCAGTTCCAATCGTAAAGCCCCCTATATAAAGCCCCAACCCTGAGCTAAAATAAACGGATTTAATTGTTCATTAATTTTTAATTGATTCTAGTTATTTATACTCCACACTCTAACAATAAATATTTTTTAATTTTGAGTTTGAATGTGATTCGAGTCTCTCATTTTTCAATTCGAGTCTCTCATTCAAATGATCGTCTTCAATTCTCCAGGAGACTCGAGAGCTCAGTGAGCCAGGACCCAGAGGCCGTGTTCCGGAAGCCGACGGTGGTCCTGCGGGACGTGAACCACATGCACTTCGCGTCCGGCGCTCCGCCCCCTCTGGTCCAGTCCGATGACATCCTCTCTCCGCTGTCGGAGGTACTTTAATGTGCTGTTCATTTGTCTTTAATATGTCATTGAAGCGTCTTCAATATTTTTGTATTCAATGTTTTCGGTATATCTTTGATGTATCTTTAATATATATTTGTGTGTCATTAATGCATCTTAAATGTGGCTCGAATGTGCTTTTAATGCCCTGTTGATGTATCCTCAACGTGTTGGTTTTTGACGTGTTTTTTTATATTTCATTAATGTGTTGTTGAGACATCTTCGATATTCCTGTAAAGTACCATTAATTTGGTTTTGTTGTCCTTGAATACATTTAGGCATTTTGTAGACGTAACAAGACTATCACTCGTGGTCTAAGTTTATCTACGGTAGCTTGTACAAACTTAAGAGCTCATAGGCGTGATCTGTAAGAAAAAAATAACCGGTAAAATCGAAAAAAAAACTTCGTTATAGATTGAAGAAGCTTCATGAAACAAGAATTAACTAATTCAAAAATTAACTTATTTTGAGGCTTGGTGAAGAAATTTAATTAATATTGAGCACTTATTTCTTGCACTATTATCAGGAATAATCGTAAAAACTTAATTTTAATTCATTTTTTCCACTCACAACACCAATGGTTCTACTCCCAGCGCACAATTTTTTTCTCTTAAAATTGCTGCAAATATCCACAAATTGGCTACTGGGCCGCGGATTGACAATTTATTCACTATTACGCTATTTTCATCACAATTTTTTCTAAACAGGTTGCCTCGATTTTTTACCATCTTTATATTTTGGACATTTTTCTATTATTTTACACTTTTTTGTTTTTATTTTTATTATTTTTTTTACTACTATTATTATAATTTTATTTCACTGTTAAGCGTTTCTATTTTCGCTACCCAGGAAGAGGCTCACGCTCTTCTCGCCGTACACATGTCAGCGTTCCTGACCTCAGCCATGCAAGCTCCTCCTGACGAGGTCGCTGACGCCAGAGCTCTGCTGCAGCAAGACTTCTATGACACTCAAGACATCATGAGGGTACGTTACAAGCACTTACTTTAATATGTCAAAAATTTTAAAAATTAGCTAAATTTATTCAATTCAGTTCTTGGATTACTAAAATAAGATTATATAAACGTAATGGAATGTAATGTAGTGATATTTACCAAATAAACATAATGCAATAGACTTAAGTATAAACATGGAAATTTACTATTTTATAACCCACAATTGTATCTATTTCTCATTAATGCTAAAGCGCCTTAATAAATCAATAGTATAACAATGGAGTTTAAATAAAATAACCAATATTCTAAACTCTGTGCAGCCTCTCGCAGAAATGCGCGAGCTGACGTCGACGGGAACGCTTTCCCCCTTTGCCACCATCGGCCAGCAGATTCTTAGTAACCTCGACCCGCTGTTCTATTCTTCACTTTTCGTAAGATTTTAAAGAATTTAATTATTTTACTGATAAGCAATAAGCATGAAATTTTTTTAAATTTAAGCATGAATAATAATAATAATAATGCTGGGCTTACTTAACATAAAATGTTTAAAACTCAAAATTCATTTCGGTTGCACATTTTTTATAGAATTGAAAATATATCATTACATCGCGTGTTATTCCTCTTGCTAAACAATATCATGTGATAACACGATAAAACTAGCAGCAAAACAGCGGTAAATTTTAATGTTGAGAGAGCTGAAAACGGGCAGATTTGGAAATTTTAGCGTTAAAGTAACTTAAATACTGGTTTAAATTACCGTAGAGTTTAACGTTTGAAACCAATTGTTATACTGGATTGCAGTAAAGATTTAGAAATTGTTAGCTTGCCATTTAAATTTAAATTGAAGCAATCCTTTCCATAAATCCATATTATCATTGATGGTGAGAATTAATTTGCCAATGTGTTATTTTTTGTTCGCTAGTAAATACTTAGTTTTGAAAAAATTTCTGTAACTTCGTGAAATCATGGCAATGATTTCTGATTTTATTTATTTTAGATGATAAAAAATCATGTAAATTTATACATTAATATATAAAAATTGTATTCACCCCTCCCCTGTGTCATCCACGTGCAGGTGAAAGACACTTCATTACGAAGATTTGGTATGATTTCTGATAGCACAAACTTTAGATGATAAATGTGAAACGTGCTGTAAATTTCAATATTAGTGAACAAAATTTCCTTCTCGCCTCCCCTTTATTATCCGCGTGCAGGTGAACGATACTTCTTACGAAGACTTGGCTCCGTTTGAGAGCCACCAGCCTGTGTCCACACTCGTGGGGGACGTGGCTCAGGTCAACACCTACAGCCTCGTGACTGACGCTGGCCCGCTGTCGTCCTATTCCAGTGCTGAGGTCAGCACACGACTTTCATTACGAAAAATGACCATAAAATCCATCCTTTCCTATAGTTATAATATTTTTACTCCAATGCGGCGGATGAAAACTATCCACATGGAAATCATGGAAATCAAAGTGCAAACGGAATTTGATATAAATATGATTTCAAACCCTTGATAAACAATGTTTCAGAAATCTCATATATATCGCAAGAATTTTATATAGTTTGTCTATTAATCAATTAATTTATTTAATTGGCATTTACCACTTTCTTTATACCTTCTAACCATCAATAATCGAAATACAGAAAAAAGGTCACAGGAAACTATATTAAACTTTGCAGGAGCTTGCTATCAAGTTCAAGAACTCGGACGACTTGAAGAAAGTTTTGGCCTCAACAGACGCCGTGTTCCTCGACAGTAACGTCACATGCCTGGACGTTAACCAGGCGAGTCTTTCTCAGGCGAACCTCACTCTCAGGAAGATGAGTGAGTCGTATTGTCCGAATTGTGATGCACTATCTGAAAGTAGCACTGTTATAACCTATTACTCCTATAGTTCTTTGAGTGCATATGCAGTCTTCCAGGCGAAAATATGAGAATTGCTGCCAGTTTTGTTCATGAAGTAGATCGTTTCCATTGAAGGCCGGCAACAAAAGTGCAGTGTTGACTTTGGTGGCATTGACTTAACATTGATGAATTGCATTGATGACATCAACAGGAGGCCATCAACGCGGCTCTGAGCTCCGGAGGTGTGGTGGTGACCGGGCGCTACGAGAGCCGCGGCCGCCCCATTCTCCTACGGCCGGACTCAGCGCAGCAGACCGGCCCTGAGTGGCTCAACGCGCCCGTCAACTACACACTCACCGATGCTGGTAACGGTGATGCAATCTGAGGTCGTACTATCAATACTCGCTTAAGTACATGTAGCGATCTAAGTACATGTAGCCGCCTAATTACACGTAGTGGCATAAGTGAACGTAGTGGCCTAAGTATGTACACGTAGCGGCATAAGTACACATAGTGGCCAAAGTACATGTGGCGGCATAAGTGCATGTAGCAGTATAAGTACACGTAGCGGTATATAAGTACACGAAGCGACTTAAGTACACGAAGCGACTTAGGTACACGTAGCGGTATAAGTACACGAAGCGACCTAAGTACACGTAGCAGCTTTAGTACATGTAGCGGCCTTCGTTTACGTAAGTGTCTAAGTACACGTAGTGGTCCACGTACACGTAGTGGCCTACGTACACGTAGTGGTCTACGTACACGTAGTGGTCCACGTACACGTAGTGGTCCACGTACACGTAGTGGTCTACCTATACGTAGTGGTCTACGTGCACGTAGTGGTCTACGTGCACGTAGCGGTCTAAGTATATGTGACAGCCTAAGTACATGTAGCAGTCTGTGATTAGTGGGTTTCGCTTGAAAAGTCGTCAGTGATTGGCTGGTTGCTGTTTAACAAGTCGAACATAATTGCCTGCATTGTTTTTATAGGTAAGTGACCATATGTGATGCTATTACAACTTGTGGTACGCGGGAATTTTCCAGATGATACGTGCATACTGAACACGTTTTAGGCCATGAACGAATGTTCGCTATTTTCGAATTCGCAGAAATGCTTACTGCCCGGCACAGAATAATCTGGCAAGGATGGGGATTCGTTAGCACACGCCATTCATTTATTTGCATTTTTTATTTATTGATTTATTATTATTCATGAGCAAGTTAGGAATTAAGCGAAAAATGCAGCGAATTTTCAGCCACATTTTTTTGCGCGAGACCTAATAGCACGGATCAGCGGTTCATATGGGCATGCGGTATTATTTTTGGGTATGCGGTGGCACCTGTCGGTATTAGCTACCAGCAGATCCAGTATAACCTGCTAGTCAACAAATCCAGTAAACCCGTAACTTAGAATTCAACCAAAACTCAAAGGTCGTTGGGACCGATACGTCCTCTGTAATCAAAGATCCCTCTGCTTCGCTCCTCCGCCACGTTTGTTTGCGGCGTTGACAAGTTGACGTTAGAATGTTTTCAGACTATGCTGCTGTGCTTCCGTACTTTAGACATAGACAAAAGCAATTTAAAATTGAAAATAAATACTATCATTTCTCGCTTTCGTTATTAGGACTGAAGAATGAGATAAAATCAAAGATAAAGACTTTTATTGCTCGTTTTTCCACCAGGACTGGAGGTACAGTCGGCGTCACTAGTGACAGCAGTGAGTGTTCCGTTCGGCTTCGACGGAATGTATTACTGCAAGCTCATGCCCCCCAGCCGTGCACTGGAGTACATCATGATAGACAGCCTCAGGGGCACCCAGCCTGTGGCGCGACATTGAGTGTGGATATCGGGCGAAATTGAGTGGGGATATCGGGCGAAATTGAGTGGGATATCGGGCGAAATTGAGTGGGGATATCGGGCGAAATTGAGTGGGGATACCGGGTGAAAGTGACTGGTAATATTGGGCAAAATTTAGTGGTGATATTTTGCAAAATTAAGTAGAATACCGGGTGAAATTGAGTGAGGGTATTAAGCAGAATTGAGCGGAAAACCGGGTGAAAATGAGTGGAGATATCGGGCGAAATTGAGTTGGGATACCGGGTATATAATCTACTCAGATTAATTTATGTATCTGCAATCTATTACAAAAAATCTAATTATTCAAATAATTTCTTCCTCGTTCAAATATTTGGGACTTTCGAAATTTCATTGTCTTCTCAAACACTTGATGCAAATCTTGAACTGTTTTTTAATTATTCATATTTGGCCTTAGTTAGCGAAACAATTCAGAAAACAATTCATAATTACCTTTTAAAAATGATTTCCGATTGCCATGAATGTTTGAAAAATTCCTCAATAATACAAAAATATGAAAGTAATATATCCTCCAGGTACAGATAGAGAACACAAAGAGGCAATTCGTGTTATGTGAAAGAAGACGCTTGTTGTGTAAAGAAGCATATATTGAACAATATTATTCGTTGGCGTTGAGAGATCGTTGGTCTATGAAAAGAACCATCGAAAACAAAATATTAAAGCTTCGATCGAACCAAAACAGAATTAACAACAAACTGCAGCCAAATGCAAACGTCACAACTATTTACTACCAAAATCAAATGAGCAGCGGCCATATAGCAGATGAATGAATCCTTCAATCTATCGTTCATAACAACATTATGAACGCAACTGATAATACATTTGAACTGCTAATCAATTATAAAATAAGAAACACAGAAACTTGTAATTGACAATAACCCTTTGCAAAAAAAAAAGTTCTCCAGGAGACAAAAATATTCTATAAATTTTTCTGTGACCAAAAAGGTTGTAGACTTTTCCCTAATATATGCATCGGTCTCACAACTATATGCCATTAAGCCGACGACTCATGTGCCACCTTCAGTCTGGTGGACTAAGAAGGAACCACCTGATGGAAGCCCACAACGAGACCATCACTCGTACGGTGCTCGAGGAGTGGACCTGCATCGTCATGAGATGCCCAGACGCAGTTCGACTCGCGAAAGCTGAAGCCCTCATCATTAAGGAGAGGACTCCAGCGAACAATGTTTTTTTGAACATCTTCAATCTTGAATTTTTTAGCATCTTGCTTTTTTGTAATTTTTAAATTATTTTCATCCGATCCTCGCTTCTGATTAGTTTGATTTTTACAACACTTCTCTTTAACTTCACTTCTTGTCTGTCTGTCTGTCTGTCAGTCTGCTACAAATCTTGTAATCAAAATTTAATACACTTCTACTTATCCTATCGATCTGAAATTTTGCCAACTTGTGTAAAGTTGGAGACAATGCATGAATAAAATGTCAAAATAAATGATTTTAGAAATTAAAAATTTTTTTTTTCAATATTAAAAAAATTGAAAAAATAATTTCGTCACCTACATATCTTATAACTGATATTTGACACACTTTTACCTGTCTAATTGATCTGAAATTTTGCACACTGGTGTGAAATCAGAGGCAATGCACGAATCAATTAACAGAATAAATAATTTTGAAAAAAATGTATATATTAAAAAAATTTTATATATATTTAAAAAATTGAAAAGGTAATTTTTTTAATTTTCGATAATTAGATGAGAAATTCATTGTACATCTGTAAGATTGGAGATACTGGATTCTTTGGAAGTGTTGTCTTTAAAAAGTAATTTTTAAACGTATATTATTTTACAACACTTCTCTTTAACTTCACTTCTTGTTGTTTGTTTGTCTGCTACAAATCTTATAATCGATATTTAACACACTTCAACCTGTCCAATCGATCTGAAATTTTGCACACATGTGTATAGTTGAAGACAATGCATGAATCAATTGACAGAATAAATAAATTTGAAATTCTGATTTTTTAATATATTAAAAATTTCAAAAGTATTTCTTTTGATATTTGAAAATAAAATTAGAAATTCATTGTACAAATGTAACATAGGAGACACTGGATTCTTTGGAAGTGTTGTCTTTAAAAGAAAGTGTTGTCTTCAAAAAAGTGTCTGTCATATGAATCAATATTCAATTAACAACTTCAAAGATTTACAATAAATATTGATTGGTTCCACTCATGTTCATGTTAAGATTCTTGGGATATCAATTTTTTATTTTGATTATGTATGATTACAACTGCTTGTGTGACATCCTTAATAATTACCTTAGGAACGTAAGAGCTGACATCTGCTCACCGTAAGACTGATTCACTAGCATATATGACTTCTGTACTACCATAAATATTCCAACCTTACTATACTGTATATACGCTTGTATATTATTTTGCTCTAATTGTCGAGATTTTCTCTCTCCTCATTCGTCCTCCTGTTCGAGAGGCATTAAGGGCCGAAGCTCGCTGGGCTTATATACCTAGAATGCTAGCGGTATCAACCCTTCCATTACCAGATGTATGTAGACTATTCTGCCTATCACAAACGCTCATTCATTGCATTTACTGTATTATATTCTTTGGGAGATATGAGCATTACACCCCAGAGGCCCGGTGCAACACAGAGCACATTAATGCTTTTAAGTCTGCAGGCAACACGTTCTTGATGTCAACGCAATCATATCGACAAATTTGTTGCCGATATATTGTTTTTTTTTTTAGTGCCCGGAGCACATTTTTTCCGGTTCGCTTACATTTGAATTCATTCATTCGCTTACATTTCTATTGGACATTCGCTTACATTTCTATTGGAGCATTGGGAAATGATAAACAGGGGGTCATGGGAAATAGGTTTATTAAAATGGCCTCAAACTTTATCAAATCTAAGTGTACGATGACCGTAAATATGTTAGATGAAAATGAATAAGTAAAATGGATTAAATGATGTATTAAAGGTTTTGGGAGGATTTATCTAATTAACTAAATGAAAGGCATTCGTTGGGCACAATAAATTCATGCACTATATTGCGCTCAGTGAATAAAAATTTTGATTGATATAGCCGCCAATCTCTAAAAAATTTCGCTTCGCTCCCGCTTCTGCTATTAATAATGCATGCTGAATATGGCGACCTGACATGAGTTAACTATTAGTGGGTCAAAGAGCATAGTTGCCAAATTAATGAGAAAAGAAAGTTATTCAAAGATGATTAAATTTTTTGAAACTTGGTGAAATAGAAAGGATTTACTGAGATATCGTCTTTTTTTAAATACACTATTATTATTGATTTGCGCTCTTGTTTGGTTCTAGTTAACCGTTAACAAATTTCCCGGTCATGAGAAGTGGCCATATAACACTGAAACGACAAGTTAGTGAAGGACATTATGCAATAATGTTAATATTAACAAATAACTGCAAGTTGTGGGTAGTCCGAAAGCCAATTTATATTTTATTAAATTATAAGGCAGGAAATTACGGACGCGGAATAAAAGTTTGCGCGATGAATCGAAGAGGCGAGAATCTTGGGCAAAAAGTGCGTGTCTGAGTGAAGCAAGCAACGCGGGTGCGAAGGCTGTATGAAGCGCTCTATAATGAGACATATTCAAAGACTGACGATAAGAGTGGATTACCTAAGTGTAATAATTAAATGTTCAAGGTCTAGTCTCTGTAAACGTTTGGTCGCCAATGTATATTTCTTAGTAACGTTTAACGCTTATTTGAAGTATGAAAATTTGTTCCACAATTACATATGTTCACTGAAGGCGTACCGTCATGTATATCGGAACGCGTTCTGCAAATAATAAGAGCTTAATAAAATTAAGTAAAATCATATTTAATCTTTCGAATAATCTTATATACATTTACTTCAATTGCATAGCTAATTGCTTTGTTAAGAAAAAAGTGAAAAAATTACTTTTAATTACTAAATATGAAAACTTATCGTAATAATTCAATGTCCACCTATATACCGATAATTTAAATGTGAAAATATGACCGGCATAAATTCAAAGCTTTAAAGGATTAATACAATTGGAAAGTATCTTGTTCATTGTTATTATTAGATTGTAAATTGTTTGGTATTTAAAATCCGGCGGGTTTTCGTTGGTTCCAGCAATATAAATGGGACGAGATGATAATTCTCATTTCCTTGGTTCAGGTTCTTTTAGTATTGTTATAAAACGATCCTTATACGTGAAAAACATGCTTAATAAAATAGCGCATAATGGCGAAATTTACAAAACTAAATACACTTGTGTCTTAATATATGATCAGTTGAGAGCTGCATTTTTTCGAAAAATGTGTTTCGCTTTTGAGTTATCGGTATTTTAGCCCGACATTCGAGAGGTATTTTATCTGAAGAAAACGAATATTTCACATTTACCCACAACGACGTCTTAAACGACATCGAAGTAAGTTACGCCTAGTCCGTAATACGTTAATATTTTGGAGTAGACATATCAAGGATACCATCTTAAATTTATAGTATTACTCGATATTTTAAACAATTCCATTTGATGGACAACTTCAAATAGTATTTGAAACTTGAACACTTTTAACAATCCATTACCATTTAAAATCACACATTTTCTTAGTTGTTACCCATATTCTAACTACGTTTCTTCCATTTAACCTTCAATTAAATTACTCTATGCAATCCCCATTTGAACAGCCTTGCGTCACTCCGTTGCACTAATTAGTTTTAATATATAAAAATTACGAGAAGTCATGCAGGATGATTATACTTATTCTGAAAAAAAGCCTGATGGCTTTAAAAAAAAGTGGGGTAGAGGTTTCCCTCTAAACATTGCCAATTAATTTCGTCATATTAACGTTTAAAAGTTGCACCTTAATCCCATTTTAAATTATCAAACTCTTACAAGATTGCGCAGCCATAATAGAATTTCATTACAAGATAGCAGAGAAATGTAATTACAAGATCAACAAATGTGAAAAATACAAGCAAATTGTGCAAGAATGTTAATACGTGATTGTGCGATAAAAAATGGAGAATTGAATGTTAATCTTTATTTTAAAAGTTGTTCATGAACATACTTTTTTCTGAGAATATGTGTGTCCGAGTTTGAGAGCTTCTAAATGTTTTTGTTGGTACGGTTTATGATGCAATTTCGCTGCAAATGACATTAGACTTGTTATGTTTCATGATAGATTAGATGACATGCAAAATTTAGATTGAGCCTATAAGTCGGTATTTCTTCAAATGATATTTTCTGTTCAGAAAATTTTCGCTTTGAAATGTAATAGCAGGCCATGATAATTACAGTCAATGTGATACAAAGAACGGGAGAACATTTGTTATTGGAAACTTGTTTCTCGCATTTCAAGATTTTCAATTGATTTGGCTTTACTGGAAAACTTTCCTGCCCATATTTCACTGATGGAATCCTATAGCGAACAAAACACGTGTTAATGTAGGACGCACTTGGAATATATCAGAGTTTGAGTACACAAGAAGATAGGAAAAGTTAGCAACATTACCAATATTCGAAGGACATTGCGTTGATGTTTTCAATGTAAATATTGAATCCTGATACGAAACTATTAGAGGAAATTTCTCCGATCTGATACACACCACTTCCGCTGATAACCTCGCATTATTTTACTGCATTTTATTCACCCCAAAATTTTCACATCTATCGTGCATTACTACGTGGAAAATTCTGTATAAGGTGACAAGCACTGATTGTGGTGACTTGGGAGACTGTGATGTCATAGTGTACCTTGTGTATGATCTTGTCTCCAAAACTTCTACCGAGACGACGCACCTGTAAGCCAATGACCAACTTCTTCTCATGATCCCTACCGTACTTGCTGACCAATGACCAGCTTCTTCTCATAATGTCTTACTGCATCTGTTGACCAATGACCAGCTTCTTCTCAAAATATCTCACTGCATCTGTTGACCAATGACCAACATCTTCTCTCGACACCAAACGTACTTGCTGACCAATGACCAGCTTCTTCTTATAATATCTCACTGCATCTGTTGACCAATCACAAGCTTCTTCTCACGACACCATATAATTATTTGCTAACCAATGACCAGCTCTTTCTCATGATGTCCCAATGCACCTGTTTACCAATGACCAGCTTCTTCTCATGAAGCCTCAGGAAGTCCTGCCGAACTCCTGTAAAATATGGACAGATTGAATCATCTCACATGATGGCTTGCGGAACGAGCAGATTTATTTAATACATAAATCGAAACAACTTGAAGTCACATGCGTTATTTCCAAATGCTGTTTAGTATTTCTTGATACTTAATTGGAACGAAATTGAAATAAGGAAATGAACTAAGAAAACAATTTGAATGTCATATTGATATTTTCCACAAACTACATTGCTTAATAAAAATTAAGCCAAATTTTTGTTGAGTGGACGTGCCACGTGAGGAAGAAATTACTATCCTTATTAATAATTTTTTAAAGCGCAATAGTTCAATTTTTAAAGTGTCATATTATACTTTTGTTATAATTGAACTCGTAAATTTCGTTAAAATTTCTGGAATGATTTAGAAAATGAAATTACCGCAGTATTAAGTATCTTGGTCATATGAAACTCATTTATATTTGATCCAAAGAGTGTACCAGTATTTTCATAGCAAAATAATTTATTTTAATTGAAAGATCTTTCATTTATGACTCACCTCAAGGTCTTTGACGTGGGCACTCTCTCTAGTGGTGGCAAGACCCTTCTAGAATGAACTTGCTGTAGACTCGAAGGCTCCAGGAGAAGGTCGTCATTTCTATGTGCATCGTCGTCGCCGTTTGGGTTCTTAGAACTCCTCCTGGTGGAGTCAGTATCGGTAGAAGTTCTGGTGGTGAGTGGGGGTAGGTGAGAGGACGGCTTCGCTTGAGATGCAGCCGCATTCGGGCAGTCGGGTGATGCGTCTCTGCCTGTCCTGGCACAAATCATATCTTTTCAAGGATAAAATAAAAAAGTATCTACTTTTTTCGGGAAATTTGCCGTGTGAAGATACGAGTGCAGGCTTTAATACTTCGTTGATGCGCTTTACTGGTGCGTTATACCGGTGCAATTTGGGATACTTTTTGTGTGTCTAATCCACCTCATTTCGTTACGGATTCAAACTGATATGATGTGTAGGTGCGTACTACTGGTTAAAACATAGTTTCATTGGTGCAAATTGGTTTCTCTGTATTTTGAGAGAATTTTAACGATTTCAAATCGACGCATTTTTCAACCCGATACAGAACTACTAATTGGATGGGAGCCAGCTAGAAAAATATTTCCTTCGGAGGTTTTATGCACCAAAAGCCTTAATTTACAATGAAGCCTCCTTGTTGTATTTGCTTAAACGTAAGCGGAAAGGGGATTTTCTTACACATTTTTATGTGGTTTGATATTTTTGGGGCATTCAAATTGAATATGTTTTAACTGTTTTGCAATAAAATTACATTATAAATTGGATTGTCATTGATTTATATATTAGGAATTTATATTGAAATATGTGAAATAATTCTGCGGAATATATTGATATTAGATAGATTTATCGTGGCAATAACCTGAAAACGTATCAGTTTTACCTGTCCAAATATTCACATATTTAAGAACACCAATCCTTTAAACTTTGACCACATCACAACATTGAGTTTGTATTTCTAACTCTACCATGCAGACAAAAAACACGTTTGTATCACTAGAGCAACAATGCACAGGATCTAGAAGGCATCAAATATATTCTATGTGCTGCCATAGAGACACTGCTCGCTAGAAGCGATATACTTAACCGTGATCGTCAATTACGTTTAACCCTCTTGTCTTGTACAACGATAAATATTTTTAATCAATTCATTCGTCTTATTTTTAAAATTTGTCTCAAATTTGAATCCATTAATGAACATTCCCGAAATGACATCAAAACTTGAATCCAGAAAAAAAAATATATTTTTAATTTCATTAATTTTTTCGGCTAGCTTTATTAACGAATGGAGATGAAGTGTCTCTTGCCACAAAAAATATTTGGGACTGGCAGCCTTGTTTGCTCAGCAATAGTTCAATTTCAATTCATTTAATGATTATGATCAACATTTGATTCTATTGATAATCCTCTTATTCCTCTAATGAATGCTGGATACTGATACTCGTAATTTGTTTTAATTAAGCCGCTATGGCGTGACACTTTCACTCATTCATTATAATCTATTGTGCTCTGCAATTATAACGAATACATGACTTAAACAGAACTTAAAAGGCTTCATTATACTTGTGCAGATGCGATAACAGTTTTATTTTGATCTCTTTATGTATGTAAATTATTTCAGAAGGTGGGAATATGGAAGTCTTCAACGGTCGTAAATCAGGTGGTTAGTCCGAAACTGCTATGGATGACTTGAATGTTCATTATTTACGTTTTAAATATTTCAAATCATCACTTTTTTTATTTCAAGCTTCATCCTTATCTATATATTTTATTTTTTTACTCGTTGTAAACAAATTGCCATAATATAAATGTTTTTTTTATTATTTTTGTGGTAACTCCTCGATGAAAACCATTTCTTTCAATGCTTTCATTTATTTATTAACCATCCATTGAATAATTGAAGGTAAAGGTAAATAAATGACTTCACGACCGTTGTGGGACTTCCGATTATTCTCAGAACTACGAGAGTCGTAAGTCCTGACCAAAGCTACGACTCTACGAGCTATATTACAACAACGATTGTACATCGGCACCTCATAGCAGCGTCTGAATTTCCGAAAGAGAATCGCTCAAATAAGCTTGATACCTGGAACGAAAAATTGGTCCCTCAATTCTATGCGAATACATTTATTTTTACGTATAACTCAAAATATAACATATCGTCTTGTTATGCAAAGATTTTCATACATTATGATTTTATTTTTGCATGTTTACACATGTTCCTTTACTATGAAATGTAAATGTACTTTACTACAATGTAAGCTGTTGCTTTATTTTGTAACGGGTTCAATATAAAATGACCTTATTTATGCATATACAAATATATGCAGGTAATCCAGCACTGTAATCTGTACTAAAATCGATTTCTATTCTATTTTACTCGGGCCATATAAAGTTACTTTGTTTTTTCCAGGAATTTTGAAGTTGGTAGCAACACACGATCAAAAAACTCACAAAAATACGATTGTTCGTGAAAATTACTAACTTCATGCCAGGCTTGTGAGGCACGAGTCGAATCTAGCGAGCCGAAATCAACAGTGGGTGGAATTGATGATTTTTTCATTTAAGATAATGAATTTTGTTATCAATATTTACGTGATTTTTTGTTACACGATTGGTTTTCTCGTATAACCAAAGACAATTTGAAGTACCGAGTTATTTGTATTGCTGCTAAAATGATTAATATGGATTGAGGCTAACTACTGAAGCCGTAAACGATAATTTTCGCTTGATAATTAAATTAGAGTTTTAAAATAATTATTATTTCTTCGTTTGAAACAATGAACGACTGGGTTTATTCTGCAAAGAAATGTCTCGTCGATGTTAGAATAGTGCGTGTGAATATTTCCTTTATTGTCTAGTTCACGGTAGACCATATCTCAAAATTTTGTAGGACCGGTGCCAAAAAAAACTTGCTTTGCATTCCAATAATTTACAATTATTCTGCGCAGAATTATTATTTTTAATTTAGGTTTATGAACACAACATTGAGAACAACAAAAATGTTTTCAAGGAGAACTGATTCTAGCCTACACGTTGAAGGTTGTAAACCCCCATACACGTTCTCTAGCTATAAATACCTAGAACTAACTAGAGTTGACGAGTCTCATGTCATATATAGACAAGGAGGAGGCATGCGCACGGATGGAAGATTGTATGAGCTTGCGTACCTGATTTCTAATATTCGCGGTTGCGAGAAGGCCAACTCCACAGCAACATATTTTAATGGTAAAATAAAGATTAAGCCTTCTAATGCCGACTGATCTTCTTCCTCCGATGAACTTCATTACCAGCCTGAAGTTTCTTTTTCAAGCGCCTAAAACGAAAAAATTAAATACGCTGACAAATGGCTTGAAACCTGTAAGCCCAAATATATTATATTTTGGAGGTTGTTTATATGTGCATACTAATACATGATTTTTTCTCAAAAACAATTGAAGAATCTTTATAGTTCTTACGAGAAGCGCGATGATTCACTCCATATGAAATTATGAATGCCAGTGAGTTGATTCTAACGAACGCTTCTAGTTCATGGCTATTATTTATTCAATGAAAAGAATAACAGTGGAAGCAAAAAAAAAAGATTGCTGAAATCAATATTCAATGCTTTTTACTGCGCTGAGTTGCTAGGAGCATTATTAATTTTATTCAATTAAACCAAAATCAAGTTATTTGTCACTCATAATTTCTTCATAAACTGCTCTCCGGTATTAGCATTTTTCATAGAATAAATGCTGCGATGAGGTTCAATAAATGGATCTGAGGGTTACGAGACTTTTTTTTTAATTTAAACATATGATTGAATATTGATGATTACTTCAATTGCCTTAACTCTCCTGAACAGGGTCCGGTCATAACTATTTGTGCCCTTGGATTTATGGGAGTTAAACCTTTACAAAAAGTTGCGATCCTAACTTTGACTAGCTGTCCTACACATTTACTTTTCCTCAAAACTAATTCCATAAATGGTTCACGAGTATTTTTGTTTATTTTTATTGTCACATTAACTTAACAATGAGAGTTCTTGAAACGTAGCGGATATTGATACGAATTTTGCTAGTGGGAGGCAAAGGGTTAGTGGTATATTATAAGACAACAAGCAGTCAACTCCAAACTTACCCTTTATCGTCGGGTTCTTCTCGTGCTTTGCTCGCTCCGTGCTGGTAAGACTTGCTGAGAGATTTCATAGAGTTTGACGCGGACACTTTAGACGTCCCTTTCGAGGCCTTCACTTCAACTTGTTCGTCCACTTTTGGGTCAGGTTTACTCATGCCAGCATACGTGATAAGGAGGTACAGAATGGACACCAAGAACAATGACCATGGAATAGCTATGGCATAGATCAAGTCTAGCTTGACTTTCTCCAAGTCCAAAGTCGTGAGTGCGAGATCAGGCATGAGCTTCGAGTAATAACAAGGAAAAATTGTACCGGGTGTGCTGTAGTTTTCATTGAATTCCGTGCAGTTGACCTCTGGGGGGTATCCACAACCTTTCACGTTGGGATACAGAGGGATGCTCGTGTGGGGAACTTGCTCGTCAGCCGCTGTGTACTTCACGTAAATTTGTGTGCACTGGAATATTTCTCGAGTGCATCCTTCTCTGCACGACGACCACGTGCAGTTGCTCATTCCTTCCTTGTACTCGGAACTTTCTGTGACACAGGTTGTGGGTTCGTCCGCAAATTCGGCAAACAAGGTAGAAAATGCAGGATCGATTACAAAAGGCACGAGGAACAGGAATGCGAAGGAACTGAGGCACGCCACCAAGACAGCCACGGCGGTCAAGTAAAATCGAAGGGTTGACGTCCAGCTTTTTGCTTTTGGATCTTCGAGGGCGCTCATTGTGGTTATTGGTGCGTTCAATGAAGATAGCTGGCCTAGGTTTAGAAGCTGAGCGGCGGCAAGATGGGTTTGGACTGGAGATTATTTTATCGAATGTTAGGAATAACGCACGCGTTTGATAATTTTTCCTCTGACCCTGAAATTGAATAATCTGAGTCAAATTATATTGTGAATATTTGCCCCATTGAAGTGTATCGAGGTTTTGTTATTTATTTCAAACACTGGCGAATGGGGCTTAGACTATGCAGTAATCAGACTTTTATTGAAATGTGATTTAGGCGATCGGTTATATTTTCCTGGACGAATCTTAAGCGTTCTACGTCGATTTCCATTTTCTGTAAGGATATGAAGTATATGTCATTGATTTAATAATATAATGGGCACAAATTGTAATTTACAGTATATCGGAAATTTTATGAATATGAAGTGTTCCGGTGTGTACATATACATTTTCTGGCATTAATCCGTGCTCATGTATATGCTATTAAAGTCGAATAAGGCTTCATTAAATGTGCGAGTATCTCCAAAAATTTGAACAATATTTGAAACAATGTTCATGGTTTATCCAACGAAATCCTGAACAGATTTCATGTAAAAATACCGAGACCCACTGGTTGAAATCTTCTTTAAATTACTAATCGCAGGTAACGTATGTTCTAACTCTGTCCACTAAATTTTATCGACGTGCTAGCTCATTTAATGACAAACTACGTATATTTTACGATGTTCCGCAAGGGAAATCAAATAACCTTGGAGCGCCCTCTACAATTAATATTTAATATTAGAACCATGTGATAGATAGACCTTAATTTACAAAATCACTTTCTAATCGTATCTGTATATTCACTATTCCATTTGATGAACATCATCAAAACTGAATATTTATTTTATTCTTTTTTCATGTCTTACTTACATTTCCACATGCCCTGACCTCCTCGATCAGTCACGCGATCGACGGTAGAATTTCGGGTTGGCATCATCCGGTAAGCCTAAATGAAAACTTAGCACAGCTTTCTAATAAGTAAATTTCTTCATTTTTCTCTTGACCTTCGGAAAAATAAAGGTTATTCGAACATCAGGATGTCATAAGTAAAATGCATTGACAATAATTCAGTGGACACAAGTCAGTCGCTAGCAGCGAACTGAACCGACAACTCTGGGTCGCCAGGCACGTCTCCCTGCCGATCGATGTTAGCTGTGAACTTCATGCGCACGCGCCGTGACTTAGCGCCGTGAAACTATTGAAAACATTTGACTTGTACTGCTCATTCTGCCGTGACCTACCAAAGCTAGATCTTACGACTTTCATGGTGATTCTTCCCCAGTACAAAATTTCTAAGCTAATTACTAAATTTCGATGAAGAGTTGAACATTTTCCAACTGTTGGTTTGCAGCGATCTATTTGATTCCAACTTTATTCACAAGTTCAGCGGATTTATGGGCATATATTGACAGAGATTGAGCTAGGAGTTGTTTTTAACACCCCAAGTCTTCAATCCAATTAAGTCTTCAATCCAATTATAAAAAATTTTGTTCGCGCGAGTACTGTTATAGATTTCATTAAAATGGAACCGATTGTATGATAAATAATATGATAACTAAATCTGCTTTTAGTTCCAGTATTTGTGTTTGTTTGATTTTTCAATTACCATTTGCCAAAAGAAATTCCCTTGCACTCGTGAAAATTTCGAAATAGGGCGAACAAAATTGCATGGCCTCAACATATGCAAAAGGGTTCTGGAGCTCGTGTACAAAGTTTTATCAAAATTTATTCAGTAGATTGAGAGTTTTTCTGCTCACTGTAAATTTCAGCAAACAGCTGTAACATTTCACCGAATGTAAAATTCTTCGAAAACAGCACTTACGATGCAGTTATACGGTGTCGATGCTATTACGATGTATACGATGTCTAGCCTGAATCCCAATCAACTGTTTTGTGAAATCCACGCATTCCAACAACAAAAGATTGCCGTCACTCTGTAGAGTATACTTCGTTTTTATGATTTATCGTATTAGGTTATGCATTTCTTTTATTATAAACGAGAAATAAATATATTTGTGTAGAATGCATCCTAAAGTGCCAGATAATGTAAAAGATTTAGTTTTTCGAATGAGTGGTTTTCAGGATGATGAAAGAAGAAGAGCTCTTGACACACTGCACAAATTTTACAACCAAAGTTCCCCGCTACCGTTTTCTGGTAAGAATAAAGTCAATTTTAGTCAAAGTACATTTGATAATGACTACCTAGCTACTCTACTGTCTATTGAAGTTGAATGGATTCAAAACACCTACCTATTTTAAGTTTTACAGTATGGAGTTTGATCTACCTAATCATAAAAATAGTCATTTGAAGATTGAAGGTGCTTTTAATTTGATTATTTCAAGTAGGCTATCTGCTATCACATCGTAGGATTGAAATTCTATTTGGTCAGAAATATTGTGGCTCTGAAAGCCTCTTAATGTTACAGAATTTAGATAGGCATAAAATCTCCTGGCTCTAAAGCAATGTATTTTGGCATGATCATGAATATTGTGCTCTGCATTCTGCAAATGCAGGCATGGAATGTAGGGTAGGGCAAACGCGGTATATTCCGTCACATTAAGGACGCATCGAGAAATGAAAAACTATAAAAAAATAACCGTATGCGTTACTCAAGTTCTGTTTGCTTTATGTGACTCTTGAAACACCGCACTACGCGTCAGCCAGACTGGAATAACGGGCAGGAGCCACCCGTAGAAGAGCAAAAATCACCCGTGAACGTGGAACAATTTCACCCGTGGCCATGGATAATTTCACCCGGTGGCCAATGGCCATGGATAATTTCACCCGTGGGCATGAATAAATTTAACCGTGCCCGTAGAGCTACAATTTCAACAGTAATGGCCAAAAGCCCTTAAAAAGCACATCACCAGAAATAATTGATTACATGTAAGGCTGTGCTGAATTCGTCGTACCTTCTGGCTTCTTTCACAGATAAAGTCACGCAACACTTGCAAGAATCTGTTGCCTTCTTGGCGGGCGGTCTCTCTCATAATGCGGATTGCGGACACGCGAGCAGCTACATCAAACCATTCATTCTTCAATAGCGAAATCTTTAAATAGGTTCGAATAATAATATATGATTCATTTGAGTAGAGTTACGAATTTCAAGAAAGCGTAAATCAGAACATTAAAAATCCATGCTAAGAATTAGGATTTTGAAATTAACCTCATGACAAACATGCGAACATTTAACTTTGTTTTTGCACGTTTGTTTGGAGTTTGGACATCGATCATGTTCAGCTAGTGGTCGTGTCAGAAAACCTGAGAGAACAATATTCACTTTCAGTTTTATAAGCCAATACAATACATAAAACCAATGTATTCGATTAGAAATTTCTATAATTAGTAAAAACGCGTCTTACTGATCGACTCGTCATACAAATTTTGATTAAACACATTAGACAATCCATGTTCATATTAGATCTGAATGTCACTCCTTACATAATTTTTAAATGATTAATACGTGCTGAACTGCACGTTACGTCTGGGTTACTGTTCAATGTTCATTGGACATCGATCGTGTTAGCTATAGATAAAGCTATGGAAAAATATATGTTCAGATTTGAAATGCCTAGCACAATATCGAACCCGGTGGAAGTCTAGTAGCAACTTGAAACTATCGTCAGTCATGAGAAGATCCGGTCAACAATTCACTACCGCCCGTTACGTTCACCAATTTGTACTC